GAAACAGAAACACAAAAAGAACCAAGTGAAAATTATGGAACTGAAAAACAATCATGGAAGATAAAAATTCACTGCATGGGTTTAACAGCCGAACTGACATGAAAGAGTGAACTTGAAGATACAGCGATAGAAATCATCTAATGAGAAGACAGTGGGAAAAAACACCAAGCAAAACAAAGACAAAACTCAGAGGGACTGACTATGAGATAGTCGAGGAAAACATTCAAAAATCTGCGCTTCCACAAAAGCAATGAAAACAATCCAAGGAATGTTTATTCAAGAAAAATGGCTGAATCTCAGTAAGAACAGGGAACTCCACGGTGATTTAACTTTACCTAGTCCCATCCCCCTTTCCCCAGCTTCATTGAAAACCAACAGCCTTGCAACTATGGTGGCTGGGAAAATCAGTCACCTAGTGGCCACCTGAGGGGTCAGAATGGGTTTGGAACTCCCCCAAAGCCCCCATTCCTAGAGAAATGTCACTATTTGATCTATCTGGCAGCTCACTTAAAAGCTCCATTCTCAGGGCTTGTCTCTTTTTGTCCAGACTCAGAGCTTCTCTATGCAAAGAGCACCAACCCCAGGACATTTGCTAAAAACAGTCAGCACAATTGTTTAACTTTACAGATGCCAGAGTCAGTGCTACCAGAAGGGACTAATAAGAGACTCATCAAAAAACTTGAAAGGAAAAACTGGAGAATGGAGGTCTGCCATCAGGCTTTCAAAAGCTCCAACATATTTCTGGAACTCTAGAAGGACATGGGCATATACAGGGCTATGACTATACCCAGGGAAGACTGAAAAGGCCCTAATCTATAACCTATGGCTGACTTTGAGACTCTGCACAAAACACCCTGCTAGAGCACTGAAAATTCCAAAATAAAATGAAGCAAAAACCATAGACTTAAAGTAAGAAATAGACAATTCAACACTAATATTTGGAGACTTCAATACTCCACTTTCAATTAGCAGGAACAGGAAATAGAAGTCTTGAACAAATTATAAGCCAACTAGACCTAACAGACATCTGTAGAACATTGCACTCAACAAGAAAACATATTCAACACATTATTTTCTGGTGGATATGGAACATTCTCCAGAACAGGCCATATGTTAGGCTATAAAAGGATGAGAACAAAATATGTTCTCTGACCACAATGGAATGAAATTAGAAATCAACATCTGAAGGAAATGTGAGAAATCCACAAATATGTGAAAACTAAACAATATACTTCTAAATAATCAATATCACAAGGGAAGTTAGAAAATACTTTTAGACGAATGGAAATGAAGACACCACATACCAACACTTATGGGATGCAGATAAAGCATCGCTTAGAGAGATATTTGCAGCTGTAAACACATTTTTTTTTTAAAAAAGAAAGATTTCAAATCAATAACCTAAACTTCCACCTCAAGAAAATTAAAAAAGAGCAAAATAAACCGAAAGCAAGATGAAGGAAATAAATAATAAAGACTAAGCTGAAATAAATGAAAGAGGAAAGAAAAATAAAGACTATCAATAAAATCAAAATTGGTTCTTTGAAAAGACCAACAAAACTGACAAACCTTTAGCTAGATAGACCAAGAAAAAGGAGAAGACTCAAACTACAAAAAGCCAGTAATAAAAGAAGAGACATAACTACTGACTTCACAAAAATAAAAGCAATTACAAGAGAATACCATAAACACTATATACCGACAAATTAGATAACATAGATGAAACGGACAAATTCCTAGAAATACCCAAAGTGCCAAAACTGACTCAAGAAGAAATAGTTAATCTGAATAGACTTAACAAGCAGAGACTGAACTAGTAATTTCACAACTTTCAACAAAGAATATCCCAGGCTCACATTAATGAATTCTACCAAACATTTAAAGAAGAAGTAACATCAATCCTTCATAAACTCTTCCAAAAAACAAAAGAGAGAATACTTCCCAACTCATTCCATGAGACAAGTATACCAAAATATCAAGTATACCTGATACCAAGACCAGAAAAAAAAAGAAAGAAATAAAAATTACAGAACGATATCCTTAATGAATATAAACATAAAAACACTCAAAAGAATACTAGCAAACTCAATCCAGCAACATGCTAAAAGATTATACACCACAACCAAGTAGTATTTATCCCAAGAATGTAAGATTGGCTTAACATACGAAAATCAATCTTATGGATCATATCAATAAAATAAAAGACAAAATCCACAAGATTATCTTAATAGATGCAGAAAAAAAGCATTTGGTAATATCTAACCTTTTCATGTCAAAAACACTCAACAAACTAGGAATAGAAGGAAACTTTCTTAGACTGATAAGGCCATCTACAAAAAACCCACAGTGAACATCACATTTAATGGTGAAAGACTAAATGCTTTCTCCCTTAGATCAGGAAAAAGAGAAGGGTGTCCACTCTTGCTACTTCTCTTCAAAGTTGTATTAGAGGTTCTAGCCAGGCCAATTAGGTGAAGAAAAGGAATAAAAGGAATCCAGTTTAGAAAGGAAGAAATAAAACTATCTCTACATATAGATAACATGATGTTATATATGTAGAAAATTCTAAAGAATCCATTAAAAAATCAGAACTAACAAATGAATTTGGTAAGGATGCAGGATACAAAATTAATATACAAAAATCAATTTTATTTCTATACACTAGCAATGAACATTCTGAAAATGAGATTAAAAACCTCATTCCATCTACAATAGCATCAAAATGAATAAAATACTTAGGAATAGATTTAACAAAAGAAGTATAAGACTTGTACACTAAAAACTGAAAAACACTGTTGAAAGAAATTAAACAAGACCTAAATAAATGGCAAGATACCCTGTATTCATAAATTGGAAGATTTAACGATGTGAAGATAGCAGTACTCCTGAAATTGATCTACAGATTCAAAGCAATCCTTATCAAAATCTCAGCTGCCTTTCTGCAGAAATTGAGAAAGCAAATTGATTTTAAAAGACCAAAATAAATGGAGAAACATATCATATTCATAGATTAGAAGACTCAATAGCATTAAGATGTCAATCCTTCCCAAATTAATCTATAGAGTCAATGCAATTCCAAACAAAATTCTAATAAGTTTTTTAAAAGAAACTGATGAGCTGATTTTAAAGTTCATAGGGAAAGGCAAAGGATCTAGACTAGCTAAACCAATTTTGAACAAGAAAAATAAAGTTGGAGAACTTAAGGTATCTGATTTTGAGACTTAATATAACGCTTCAGTAATCAAGACAGTATATTATATGTCTATATTTATAGACATATAGCTCAATGGAACACAACACGTATACAGTCAATTGACTTTTTTTTTTTAAATCAGTTTTTCTCCATTTTTTGTTGAAAAAAGTGTCAAGGTAATTCAATGGAAACAAGATAATCTTCTCAAAAAATGGTAAAGGAACTGATAGCTATATGAGAAAAAAAAGCCTTAAACTTTGCTTTGCATCATAGATGAAAATTAACTCAAAATGGATTACAGACTTAAATGCAATGCTAAAACTATTAAATCTCTAGAGGAAAACATAAGAGAAAATCTTTATGATGTTGAATTGGACAAACATTTCTTAAACAGAACACCAAAAGTCTAAAATGAATAAACGAAAGGATGAAAATGAATAAAAGGATAAATGAATAAAATGGACTTCTTTAAGATTAAAAACTTTTGTTATTTGAAAGACATGGTTAAGAAAACAAAAAGGTAAGCAAGAGACAGGGAGAAAATTTTTGCAAAACATATATTGAAAAACAACTTGTATTCAGACTACATAAAGAACATTCTTATAGGCTCTGGTGGGGAGTTCACTCACTTGGAACTCTTACAACTCAATAATATGAAGTCAAATAACACCTCCTCCCCACCCCCAAAAAACTGTTAAAGATTTAAAGAGACAATTCACAAAAAACGATATATGAATAGGCAAGAGCGCACGAAAAGATGCTCACATCACTGACCATCAGGAAAATAAAAATTAAAATCACAATGAGATACCATTATACACCCACCAGAATGGCTAAAATTTTTCAAAGACTGACAGGTTGACAGTACCAAGTGCTTGCAAGGATATGGAGCAACTGGAACTCTCATATATTGTTGATGAGAATGCAAAATGGTACACCCATTTTGAAAAACCAAACAGCAGTACCTTAGAAAGTAAAACATTTATTTACCATACATCCCATCCATACCAATCCAAGGTAACTGCCCAAGAAAAATGAACACATGTGCCCACACAAAAGCTTACTCATAGCTAGGGATCAGAAGTGGGGGATAAGGGCAACATAAGGGATACCTATGGTGATGAAACTGTTCTGCATCTTGACTTTATCAGTGTGAATATCTAGTTGTAATATTGTGCTTTAGTTTTGCAAGATGTTATCAGTAGGGGAAAGTGGATAAAGAGTAGTGTCATCTCTTACAACTGCATGTGAATCTACAATTTCCTCATAATACAAAGTTTAATTAAAAACAGAACAAAATTCGTTCACAAATGTTGTAGCAGCATTACTTATAACAGCTCCAAATTGGAAGTAACTCAAATGTCCATCAACTGGTAAAGAGATAAACAAACGATGGTATGTCCAATCCACAGACTACTCTTCAACAGTAAAAGGGAATGAAATATTAATACATGCAACAACATGGAGGAATCTCAAAAACACTACACTTAGTGAAAGAAATAAAACACCAAGGATTACATACTGCATGATTCCACTTACATGAAATGTAGTGACAGAAAGTACATCAGTCATTGCCTGTAGGTGGGGCTGTGGGGAAAGGATAGCGTACAAAGGCGCAGGTGGAAATTTTTTAGTGTGAAGAAACTATATAGTTCCTTCTATAGTTTGATTATGGTGTTGGTTACGTGATTATATATGGTTGTCAAAATTCACACTGTACATATAAAATTGGTGAATTTTATGATATTTTAAATAATATCTTAAAATACAAAAAAGAGAAAAAAATTAAGGCTTAGAAAATTAATACCTGTTAGCGTCTTTCCTGCATTCAGAGGAGGAGCAATGACTCTGAAAAGTTTCTGGAGTAAAATTAATAGAAAAATAATCACCATTATTTTTTAAAAAGAATATTTTTAAAAAGATAATCAAGAATCTTATGCTGTTAATTACCTTTCTGATTGAATTATTCATTTGCTACTGAGATTAAAAATAAAAACTATTTTTTGAGGAAGATTACCCCTGAGCTAACATGTATGCCCATCTTCCTCTACTTTATAAGAGGGACGCCTGCCACAGCATGGCTTGATAAGCAATACATAGGTCTGCGCCCAGCATCCAAACCAGTGAACCCCAGGCTGCTGAAGCCGAGTGCACGAACTTAACCGCTGTGCCACCAGGTCAGCCTCTTAAACATAAAAACTTTTAATGTGGACATGAACTGTTTTAGAAAGATCACTGGGAAACAATCATTGTTGTCATATTCCTCACTAAAAGAAACCAATTAATAAATACCAGTTAGATGAAAGTCTCTGTTGAGATTATGATTTCTGAATATAAAATATCCTTAGGTTCCTAAAAGTGCTTTACTCTTTAAAAAAAAGAGTCAGCAAGTGAAGGGATTAATGATAGCCCCCCAAATGGTAATGAAGATTACTTTAAACTGAAAACATCTGAATGATCAGCAGCCACAGAGAGAAACATTATCTAAATTTAAGCAGAGCCTCTGAAAATACAGTAAGATTAATGGTAAAACTCCACTGGCCTTCCTGGGAGGGAGTTTCCTGTTGGGGAGAAGACTGACCTTTAGCACTGAGAAGTGCAAATTCAGCTGTTAATTAGCATCAAAAAGCCCAAAAAACCATTCATACTTTCCCATGGAAACCATAAATTCGCTCCGCCCCAACTTTTGTTAAACTAGTATATAAACCTTTACCTCTGGCTTTTCAGAGAGTTACTCATTACTGAGTGCTCCCAGTACATGTGTGAATAAACTTTGTCTTTTCTCCTGTTAATTTGTCTATTGTCTGTCAATTTGCAGCACTCCCCCCACCACTGGGATCTAAGCTGGTGGAAAAATTTTTCCGCCCAACACAAGGCACTACTTTGGCCTCAGAAACAGTCAAAACTAGAAGTCAGGAAAGGTTCCAGAGACTACTGTTGTCATCCCAAATGCGATGACACTTTCATTCTGGAAAATCTAGAAAATTTCACAAGGCAGGACACCTCCTCTTAATTTGAACCTCTTTAAGTACTAAAATAACTAAACTTTAAACACTGAAAAGTGATTTCCTTACAGGCAGAGAATTATAAACGAGGAATCACAGGATGCATCTAAACGCCCACTGCCATAACTTCCAAAAGATGACAAATACCAAGCTCCTGCTGAAAGCTCAAAAACTACTCAACACAAGACAAGGCCACCTCAATAGTCCAGTGTTCCATCTGAGATGTGCAGGTATAAAAATCTCCAGACTTTGAGGAATAAAAAACCCACAAAAAACAAAAACTTCAAAAGCAACAATACCAAAAACCCAGCAATTGTTTTTATAAACACAGAATGCATCAAATTAGAAGGTGTTTTCAGGGGTTATTTTGAGAGAAACTAGACATTGCATTAACTCTTCCTAATTGTGGTCTGGTAGTGGGGCAGAGAACATTTTTGCCTGCAGGGAGGTCCTGGACCTCACTGAGGAGGGAGGTGACCACTCTTTCTCAGGGAAGTACTGGATCTCGGTGAGTAAGCAGCAGAGAGCTGTTCAAGTGTAAAGAATACTTATTTGACACACAGACAATCAGGGTTAAAACCAGTGAAGGGGGCTGTGGCACTCATTTTGGAAATTGACCAAGAACAGAGAGGTACAACCCAAACTAAAGGAGTTATGAACTACAGGGCTGCTCACTCACCAAGCTAATATGTTTAAAGAAGACTGAAGTATCTAGAATGACTCCTGACTTAGTAATACTGGAGATAGCTCTGGATGGCCATTAAATACACAAAAAAGTTGACCGGTTGCCGTCAGCAGATGCCTGGCTCTTTTGACACAGGTAATTAGTGGCTGTAAAAAGGCAATGGGCGGGCAGGGCACTACGTGTATCTACAATCCATTACCCACAATTCCGTCCCCAAATTTAAGGCAAATAACAAGACAGATGGGGTTTGGTTCTTTTTAAAATGAGCCCAAATGCTTTTTAGATGCTCTCTTCTAATGGAAATGAGAATAAGAAATTATAATGAATGCTATACAATTCTGAACTGGGAAAAGCAACAAACTAGCAGTTAACAAATAATGACTTCCAATCATTTTCAGGACCTTCCACAGCAGAATATATCTACAAATAGCATTATTCAATAGTACAATATATACAATAAGTATATATATTGAATTTCTTATACCTTTTGAAAAAGCTATTATAATTTCAAAAGTTATTGGAAAAAACTTAAAGTCTAACAGGTAAGCATAACTTTTAATTTTGCCTATTGCTCCCTGAGATTTAAATACATAATTATGCAGATAAAAAAGAAAGCAATGGCAGAAGGTATGAAATTAAAGTCTACCTAAAAGTCCCAAATGAAATGGGTGCGAGCCTAATAAATCTACAAGAAATTAGAAGAATGGATGAAAACAGAAACTTTCAAAGCCAATGGAGAATTAGGAAAAAAACACTAATAGACAATATTAAATATGTGCCCAAGTTAGGAAGTATCTTACCTCCATTGGACTAATAAATTCATTCATGCCTCTGTTGTAGACGTAGATCATAGCATCATATAGCCGATTTTCCCAACACATGAGAACTACCTGTAAAAAGGAAAAGTTGCTTGGTCCATATAATTAGGTAAGTCTCACCAATTCCTCTCCTTAAAGATTTAAGAATGGGGAAGATCTTGACTTCTCTTCCCTAATTTTTCTTATTCCTTCTCTGAAAAAAAACAAAATTGAAGTACTCAAACACAATGCCAGACAACAGCTGTTGAAGGTTCAATACTACTTTTAATAGTACAACAGCTACTTTGAAACATCCTCCAATGTCTAACGTTATTTCTTCTCTATCCACCCCCTTTCCATATTTATTTTACCTTGGGTCACTAGTTCTACAAATACTTACTGAACACTTATATTCAGGTTCTCTCATAGGCACTGGGGATAAAGTGATGGATGAGACAATCCCAGACCTAGTCTGTACCCTTACGGAATGTCCATTCATCTTGAACACTCACCAAAAGAAGGGAGAGGCACAAAATGGTGTGTGAGTTATGACTTGGGGGAGAGACTCAATGACACAAATAATTCATTTACAAATGTGCTAAGTGTTATACAGGAACCTGACTTGGGCTGGAGAATTAAGAAGATCATCCCTGAGGGAGCAATATTTAAGCTAGGACCTAAAGGATGCATGTATGTGAGCCAAAAGCAGAGGTGGACACTGGGGACTCTGAAGGCAGAAGCAGCAGTAAAGATGAAGGTCCTAAGGTGGGAAGGAGCTTGAAGTGTTTAAAGAAGGAGAGAAATTGATTTGAGAAAATATTTAGGGAGAGAAAATATGAGGGAGAGACATACTTTAAGATGACTCAAAGTATAGAGTACTCTATATTCTGTTCCTAAGAGAGCTAAAATATACTATACTGACAAGAGGAGAGGGCTGAAGTAGAAGAGAAGAGGTCGACAAAGGAGAATGATAAGGAGAAGCCAGAGAGGTAAGAGGAAAAATGGAAGTGAGGTGTCATGAGAAAATCACTCTAGATGAAGGTATGTTCTGGGACCTCTCTCTCTTCTCTCACTACCCTTCCTCTCAGCCAGTGCCATAATCATAGATCTCTTTGCTGATGACTAACACATTTACAGCTTCAGCCCTAGTTTCCTCTCTGACTCATATATCCAACCACTGACTTGATATCTCCACCTGAATGTTTAGGAGCTATCTCCAAATAAAATGGCAAAACAGAACTCCTGATTTTGACTCCCAAACTTAGACCTACCTCAGTCTTCCAATCTTCTTAAAGGAATTATTCCACCCTGTTTCTCAAGCTGAAAAACTAGGCATCCTTCTTAAATTCTCTCTTTCCACACCCTCGCACCCAATTCATCAGCAAATCAGTTCTACCTCCAAACACATCCAAAGTCAGGCCATCTCTCTCTATCTTACTGTTAGCAACTCCAGCCAGGACCACATCCTGGACCAGCTCCTAACTAGTCTCTTTGCTCCTTTTGTACTTGGCCCCCACCCCTCATTCTTTTATCCCTAAAGCAAACCAGAGTGACCTTGCTTAAAACCTTTTCATGATTTCTCATAGCACTCCGAATAAAATGGAAAAAATCTGTACCTTGCCCTGAAAGGATTACCTCTCCCTTTCAACCAAGCTCCAAATCTGTTTGCCTTTTATCTGTAATTCTAATAGCCAAGGCATATATCTTTTTTTTTTTTCCTTTGGCGTTAGCTGTTGCTTTTACCTGTAACAGTCTTCTCCAAGATCTTTGCATTACTTATTCCTTCTTGTCATATGGATTCCAGACTCAGGAAGGTTTTCTAATAATTAACCAATCTAAAGTAGCCTCTCATTCTCTACTATATTTCCCGTTTGACTTTTAACATAGAATTTGTTTTTGGATATCTCTGGTTTGTTTACTTGTTTATCTATTTATTGTCAAACTTCTTTGCTAGAATGTAAACCTATGAGAGGACAAGCAACTACCAAATGTAAACTCTACGCTAAGAGCTCTGGGGGATGTTGAAGAAAGAGAAGCCTCTTGGCTTGCAGGAGTTCATCATCTGACATTCATTAAAGAACAGTCCTAAGAAACACATTGACAAATACAAGTCTATGAAACATCTTACCAAAAGTGCTCAATAAATAATTGGGGTTGATAGAAGGTAGGGGGAGGCTGGATCAGTCAGGTAAATATAATCAGTAAAGGAATGATGCTTATTCTGTAAATCAGTAGACTGTCTATAAACTCACCTGTTGAATATCTAGGCTCGTGATATCCATATGTACAATGAGGGCTTCCACATTCTCCATTAACTTTTTATCTTGGAAATGAACGATCAAGTCTTTCATTACCTGGGGTGTGATCCCCACCAATTTATCACTTAAGATATATGGCTCAAGGCACTCCAAAAACACTCCTTTGGCCACTGAATTCTCACTTAATTTGTCATACATCTGGCTAAATAAAAGATCTCTGTAACAAGAAGGGGAAAAAAACACTCTTAGGAACATTCCAAACATCCACTAAATTCAGTCTGCTAGGTATATCTCATCTTTCTTCTATTTTGACTTACTCACAAGTTTAATAACAACATTCACAATGTTTGCATAGAGCTGTATATTGTGAAAACCTTTTTATACATACTATCTTAGTTAATTCTCTCAATACTTCTTTTGCAAATAAGAAAATTTGAATAAGTTAAATTATTTTCTGAAAGTCACACAGTTAAGTTATGGAGTCAGAATTTGAACTCAGCTCTCTGGTCTAAATCCTGTGCTGAGTCTATTAGGGCACAATGCTTCTTAAAGACAACACTGATACGAGTGAGTAGTACGGTGAACATGATGAAGTAGAAAAAAAAATTAAAAAGGACTACTCATAAATCTTTTCCTCTTTCCTGGTATCTAAATATCCTGAGCTGATCTGCAGAGCCAATCTGCTTCCTTACCTAGTTCTTACCCCTTGCTTTTCAAAGGCTTTAGGTAGTAATTACTGATGGACGAGAAGGAAGAAATCTCATTCAGTATTTTAAAAATATATCTGGACATTATTTTATTGTGGAAACAAAAATTTTTAATTAATCTAAATGCTACCACACTCAATAATTATTTTATTTCCTACTTCTTCTGCAAATAGTCCATAAATAATTTGTTATACTCAGATATAATTCTGAATTCTGTTTTCATGCAACATTAAGATGATAAGCATTATTCTAAGTTGCTACCTACTCTTTAAAGTTACCATTTTGTCAAACAAGGTTTCAAGATGCTGAAACATCAGAACTTAATTAACTACTCCTGTGGTGTGGACTATATCACTTATTTCCAGTATTAACTGTTATGAGTGATGTGACAATGAACATCTACATATGCAGTCGTTCCCATTATGGGGGCTTAATTCCCTTGGTCATACTACTTTTTAGAAATTTATCTTGAGTCAAAGGATACGAAAAATTTTGTGGCACTTGAAATGTATCACTAAATTATCTTCAAAAAGCATCATACCACCAGTAATGTATAATCATACCAGTTTCACCAGGCAATTGTGATTGGTTTTTTCCCCCCAGATAATTTAACAAGTATAAATTAAACAACATCACTCTTTTAAACTCTTTGATGACTGGCAAAAATAAATGTTTCCTAAGTTTCCATTCATACATTGTATTGCCTTGTATCATTCACTGATTCACTCATTCCTTTTCTTTTAAAATAAAAACTGTGTAAATGCTATTTATCTGTTAGGGTTACTTATTTATTTATCAAATGTATAATCTTTTTATATGTATATCATGTCAGTTGTGAAATATGGTATAGACGGTTCATCCAAAAGTGCTCTTTCATGACAAGTTCCACAAAAGTTTAAGGAACGTTCTGAAAGGAGTAGGATGGGGTCTTGCCTCATCTGAAGTCCTGGAAGGGGACAGATGATAAATGGACTGGCTACAACTGTGCCAGAACCACAGGCCACTTTTCAATAAACAGTATTTGCAGTATCCTTGGGGGAAATCCATATTCATTTACTTTTTTCTCATATCTACGAATGTAATTTTTGTATCACTTTTCCTCTTTGCTTCATTTTTATCAGAGCATTTTTCATGTTAGTTTCATTTTAATCAATAGCCCATCACATTTTTGTGATTACCAGTTACTAGCCAAATAAAAGAAACTGAAATTAATGAAGCTTTACTATAAGAAAGATAAAGTAAGAGTAACAAAGTAACTCTAATGAATTCAAAGAAAATGTTCTATTTGCTAGCCTTTGCACTCTGTAACGTGTTGTTAAAAACAATATGCTAGGGAAGATAATTACTATTTCAGTTCAGCAGAAAAAGCCCTAGAGAGGAGAATTAAAGAGCTAAAAATTCAGTAAATAGAGCATAAAAGTTGACAAACAAGGCACTCCTGTGACAAACAGCAGCATCACTGCTGGTAAGATTCATGACAAAACTATGTTTCTTTCTTAACCAGTTAAAGGCTATAATAAGGATACAAGAAAAATAAAACTCAGTAATCTTATCTGTATCTCTACTTTAAAATAAAAATAAAACAAAATTCTAAAACATGTTCACATCATTTTGGGAGAATATTTATTAGAGTATCAAGGAAGGAGGGAGAAATAAAAGTCCATACAAAAAAGCTTTAGCTCTTGTGTTTATTTCTATATTTATGCATTTTACTCCATCCAGTGTGCTGACTTTGTTTCCTGGAAGGACTAACTTAAGAATTGCTGTTTATTGCTTAAAGCTTAGCTTCTCTATAGCCAGTATAACAGAAAATCCGTTCTGAATAACAGAGGGACATCAAAGAGCTCTTTTTTACATAATTTCACTTTATGTTAATACTCATATTAAAAATATCATTTGGAGTTTATCATTCATAACTTCAAATTGATAGAGAAAATGGCTAAATTCACTTTGTGCATTACCAATTTTACAATTTAAAAAAATGTGAAGAACTCAGCTTTGATTATGAGATAATTACAAATTCAGGGGCCGGCCTGGTGGCATAGCGGTTAAGTTTGTGCACTCTGCTTCAGCGGCCCAGGGTTCGGAGGTTTGGATCCAGGGCACGGACCTAGCACCACCCATCAAGCCACACTTTACATCCCATGTAAAATAGAGAAAGATTGGCACAGATGTTCGCTCAGTGAAGATCTTCCTCAAGCAAAAAAAGAGGAAGATTGGCAACAGATGTTAGCTCAATGGCCAATCTCCTTCACAAAAAAAGAAAAAAGAGAAATTATGTTCAAAACGCTCTGTTTTCCGATACAAGTACCACAGTTTGTAAAGATTTCCTTTAAAAAGGTTTGGTGGTGATGGTTGTGCAACTCTGTGAATATACTAAAACTACTGAATGGTACGCTTTAAAATGGTGAATTGTATGGTATGAGAACTATATCTCAATATAGCTGTTCTAAAATTAAAAAGGCGTAGCACCTTCCCCCCAGCTTTGATATTTAAAATTTGAAGATGCAGCTATCAGGGAAACAAGATCTGAAACATCCAGCTCCTCAACTGTGCTTGATAATTAAGATCTTTTTGCTTCTCAAACAATAATCAGGATATTGAACAACAAGATTGAACAAATATCCTGGCTATCAAAAGACCGCTTCAGATTCACTTCCGATTTAACAGAAATATTTTTGGTTCAGATTTATATATAATTCAAGTCATCTGAACAATGGCTTCTTTTTGGATAGCTTACAGTGATATAAGCTCAAAGTGTCAGGATCATCTACATACAGCAGCTATTTTGTTTCATTTAATAACAATTTTATTGAGATATAATTCACATATAATCATATAGCACCTATTCTTAAACAATGTTCAAAATTATGATTATAGGTCAAGTATACTCTGGACCAATTTCAAAATAAGCTACAATTATGGCTACTGTTGTATAGGCAAAATGACAAATTATTAAATGTCCTAGAAAAAGCCTTGAGACATTTTATATCATGTGTCTAAAACTGAAAAAAAAATTCACATTACAAAATTGAAATGAAATTGTGGAACAGAGACCAAACTGTGAAAATAAAGCTCAAGTCTTCAAAAACAGCATTTCCTGTCATTTCTAATTTTGAACAATTCATGAAAAGACTATATAGCCAAGTTTTAACCAAAAAAGATGGCTATAATATAGTGGTTCCTGTCATAGTAAAAAGGATTTTATACTATAAAACACTTCTTAGGTATGAATAGGAATACATATATACACTAGTTCAATTAACATTACTGCTAGGTATGGGGTTCTATGAATTATGCTACTATGAGGTAATAGTGATCATAGTATAATAATGCTTGTGGTATTGAGTTAAAATTAATTTCAGAATATGTATTGTGTTTATAATTTGATGCACATAACAAACAGTATAATAGTGAAAATAAGAGGATGGCTATAAAAACAATTTACTCAATCAGAAGATATTTATATAAAAGGTATGTGCAGGCCAGGATTGAGAGTCTAAAGGATCACCCTAGAAGTGGAAGAAGTTACCTGAAAATGGTCGAATACTAGACTATGTTTTGTGAGACTGTATTTGTGTTATGCAAACCCAAGCATTCCTTAAAGCAATGTTAATGTCACAGATACTCTGGAAATTTGGGAATACAAAAGACCCTACATGAAAATGGAACCAAATGTCAAAAAAGATGGTATAAAGAGAGTGTCCAGTTTAGGAAGAAAGACACTATACTAGAAGGAAGTGACATACAGCTTCTAATCCTCCACTTCAATTTAACCTGGGGAATTGACCATTTTTAACCTTGTTATCTATGGCAACTCTAAGAAAACATTATAAAAACTCTACCAGTTAAGAGTGATTATATTGAACTATTTAAGCAAACATAGAATTTCTATATCTAACAAATCTTTAATTGTTTCATGTTTGAAATGGAAGGAGACTGTAAGATGACCTAGACGCAAAGAATCAAAGTTGATCAAATGGCCAATTTGACCCCTTTCCCCCTAAGCTCAGGCCCATAGATAGGCTCTTAACACTGATGAAAAAGAAAAGCCATATGGTGAGAAGTAAGCAAGCACAGAAGCACACAATCTAGAACACAAAAGGGAACACCTGACCCAGTGCTTAGTTTCACAACTCCAGGCCTTCTTACACTGCTGGGAATGCTGCCTCGTCCCTCCTGCCCTTACTGGAACCTAGAGAGTAGAAAAAGTGGGGAAAGAGAGCAGGAGGGAAAGGAGAATGAGAACAACACGTGCTGGAACTTCTCCTGAGCAAGAGCAGGATGTAGTGCAACCTGATCTTCAGCCTTTGGAAACGGGATTGAGAGAGAAGGAGGCCACACTATTTGCACTATGGACCTGGGAAACGTCCATGCCCTTGATCTAGGAGTATGTGTGTATGGGTGGATGAAGGAGGGAGGGAGGGAAGACCTGCAAAAAGAACCAAGAGTTGGAAAAGGACTCTTGAGCTGTCCCTTCCCCGTGGAGGTCAGGAATACTATGACTGCAGGTGTTTCTTTCTGAGATCTCCAACAAGTACTGCATTTATTTTTGACACAGCCCAGAAGCAAACAAGCTAAGGAGTCAAGAAAATTAAAGAAAGAAAAAATTTGATAAAAAAAGAAGAAATAATAAATAGATTCTAATTTGGTGAAAATCATACCAGATCTTATCTTCTACGTTATATGCTGTGATTTAATAAAGAAATTATTGCAGTCAATAGAAAGTTAGAAATAATGCCTTTTTGAATCATATAGAAAAGAAAGGTCTATCTCCAGAACATTTCTGGGAATAACACAAAATATTTCTGCAAGAAAGAACCTATTTTTTTTCTTTTTCCCTCTATAATCCTTCATCTTACAACTGCTAGAGCCATTTCAACTTCACATCACTGGGAGAGTATTCAAGATAATGACCACAAGTCATCTGGCAAACCAGGAGGCAGAACTACTTCATTAATTCAACCATCAGGTACTGAGTAGCTACTTTGTGCCAGGCACCATTCTAAGGGGATATAACCCATTTTATAAATCTACGCTTTCTTACTCTAAACAAAATTTAGTCTTTTAGGTACTTTATATCTCATTTATGATTATCTCAACTTGAAGATTAGGGTTGATTCAAGTACTTATTAGTATTAGCAACATCTCTATACCTCAATTCCTCATCTGAAAATGAGGACAACATTACCTCTCTTACACTGTAATTATGAGGATTAAACAAAACAAAATACGTAAAATTGATCCATAAATTATGAGGCTGCTTTAAAAACTACAAGATGACAAGGAAGTGAGTGTGAAAATTGGGGTAAAGAATATAAACTAAGAAAAGCTAGGGTGAGGTTAGTATGTCACGGCTCTTAGCTTTCTAGGAAATAGTAATTAGCTACACAGTTCACTGTCCATTGATTAAAGTGAACCAGCTGTTCAGAAGAGGCAAAAGTAATTCTGGTACTAACACCTGAGGGAAATTTCTCCCTTGGGCCCTCAAGAAGAAGACAATGCATAACATAAAGCAATGTTCTCCACAACATCTCAACTGTGAATACAATATATGTCACTGGATAATCACACATAGCACTACAGCTGAAACACTGGAATGAATTTGAGCCCCAAGTGAGCAGAAGCTACAGCTCTCCATGACTTAATCAAAGGTCTGACGTGGCAAATAACTGCCCTCTTGATAAGCTTCACTGATAACTTGAAAGTAGGACCCAACCTTTCATGATGCAGGCTACCTGAATATATATAAACTCACGGGTCAGGTCGGTGTTGTACAGGGTTTAGGAGTCTCTGCACTGGGTGCTCACATTTGTTCCCTACCACCCAAAAAGTGCCACAAAAGAACAAATGCCCAGGAGCTCGTCTGCCCGCATTAGAATCCCACCTTCACTCCTCAAAAGAAGTGTGAGTGAGCTCTGGCAAGTTATTTAATGGCTTTCTGCCTCTGGAACCTCCTGTGTAAAACGAAGATAATAACATCTACCTCACTGTTATAAAAATTAGACAAATTTAATGTAGAGGGCTTAGAACAATACCTGGCGTGCAGGGAACTATTATCATAATTGTGAAAAAATTGTGAACTAGCACAGGTTCGTTAACTAGCACAAGTTGGTTAACCAGCTAGTAACTAGCATAGTTACTACTTAAACCTTTAAAAAAGCCTAATCAAGAGTTTATTTACACTGATTTCTTTTAAACAAAAATGTTCCAAAAATCAAACCTGCAGATACAGGAATCTTGCCCTTTTCCGGGCAGTACGACATACTGTGTTTTAGTGATAGTTCATAAAAGAATATATATACAGTACACGAATCATACACTTTTACTTTTAAGATATTTAATTAGTATTGCTTTTCTGTTAGCTATGTTCTTCGCCTCCACTATCCTGCCACACAAATGCATAGATAATACACCCACAGCATCTATTTTGGAAAAGTTAATTTATTAGGTAAATGGACTGAAAATTGTGAAAGAATCTAATTTATGTAAATTAAGGGGGGTTATTTTGGTGAGGAAGATTGGCCTTGAGCTAACATCTGTTGCCAATCTTCCTCTTTTTTTTTCTTCTCCCCAAAGCCCCAGCACATAGTTGTATATCCTAGTTGTAAGTCATTCCAGTTCTAGGTGGGATGCCGCCACAGCATGGCCTGATGAGCAGTGAGCAGGTCCATGCCCAGGATCCAAACCAGCAAATCCCAGGCCACAGAAGTGGAGCTCACAAACCTAATCACTTGGCCATGAGACCGGCCTGTAAATTAAACTTTTTTTAAAAACCTATCCAGTCAAATTCATAGAATTCATAGCAGTAAATTATAACATAAGCAAGAGACAAGCTGGATTCAAAGTAATTGAATCTGACAGACAACATATACTCACTTTCGCTGCAGCAGAAGGCAGTAATCAACTATGACAGGCACCATATCCTGTAGAGAGACCATAAAGAAAGCATCAGCACCACATCTCTGTCCTACAGCTCACGGGTTAGACACGACACATAACAAGAGAGGTCTGCTTAAGATACTGTTAGACTGTTGAGAGAATACAACTTACCCCACGCTTTGGGTAAGCAATCTGGTACTATGTGTCAAAAATGTTAAAAAAATTTCCAGTAATTCTATCTGGAAATTTATCATAAATACACTTAAGAAAAAAATTATAATGCATTAAGGTGTTCACTGCAGCTCTATAACAGAAGAAGCAGGAGAAGGAGAGGGAAGGGAGAAAGAAATTGGAATTAAATATACAACACAGGAAAATAGTGAAGTAAATCTGCTATTTAAATAATATATTATGTTGGTACTAAAAGTTTATAAAGAGTTTACAATAACATTATAACAAACAGATGAAAACATGTATTTATCTCACAACTTTGTAAAGAAAATCTGCAAAGAAAAAAAAAACCAGAAGAAAATGCATCAAACTGTTAAAAGGACATAATTGGTCCGGCTTGTGGCTCAGGTGATTAAGGTTGTCCATATTTTGTCACATCTTCCAAACCAGCTATTTTAAGGTTGATTTAACTTCTCGGTTTCATAATATTTTGACTGCTTTAAATTCATCCTGTACAGACTCATAACAAATGAATGGCAACCCATAATTTTGGCCTTTTTCAGGACAGTTTGAGGGAGAAACAGTAGCTTATCATAACTGGAAACTGTCAAGTAACCAAGCATCAGACTTCAGTAGTACTCTCATTTTCTGGGGGCTGCAGAGAAATGATTTCCTTTAAAAAACATCCTAGAAGGCCTAGGTTCTAGGCAGAAAATATCTCATCAACAGGGAGAGAGTACTCTTCAAAGAAGATGTCAACCTAAAAAGCAAAAGTGAAAAGGAGGGAATAATTCACAACTAATTCTATGAGGCCAGCTTTACTCTAATACCAAACCCACACAAAGACATTACAAGAAAAGAAGACAACAGACCATTATTCCTCATGAACATAGAAATTCACAAAAAAAGATAATACATCGTAACCACATGGGTTTAGCCCAAGAATGCAGGGTTGGTTTAACACTCAAAAAAGTCAATCAATATAATTCATCACATTAACAAATGAAAAAAGAAAACCCATATGATCACCTCTACAGACACAGAAAAAGAATTTGACAAAAGCAAATAACATTTGCTCTAGGAAAAAGAAAAATCTTAGGAAATTAAGAATAGAGGAGAACTTCCTCAACCTGATAGAGAGCATCTTTGAAAACCTATGACTGGCATCATACTTATAAATCAAAGACTCAATGCATTCCCACTAACACTGGAACAAGAAAAGGGTGCCACCCATCACGATTTCTTTTCAATATCACACTGGAGGCCATACTGGAGCCAGGGTAGTAAGGTAAGAAAGAGAACTAAAACATCCAGATTGGAAAATAAGAAGTAATTCTGTCTTTGATTGCCTATGCAGAAAATCTGATGAAAAATATAAAAAACTGCTAGAACTAACAAGTCAGCCTAGCAAGATTTCAGGATAGAAGATAAATATACTAAAATTAATTGTATTTCTACATCCTAGAAATGAACAAGCTGAAATTGAAGTAAAAAAATACTGTTTACGATAGCGTCAAAAAATAAAGATATTATGCAACTACCAAAAAAAAGGCACTCTCTATGAACCAACATAAAAAGATGTCCAAGATATACTAAGTGGAAAAAACACAGCACAAAAATCACAAATATAGTTTTCTATCATTTGTGTTAAATGAGGAGGAAATATGATGTGTGGGTAGGTAAAAATGTGAATATGTGCTAGCATTTTACCTACAGAAAATCTGGAAATATACTTAAAAACTTAGTAATGATGGTGAGAGGCAGGTGGGAACTAGGCAGATGGCATTAGGGTGGCAGGGAGACTTTTCACTGTATACATTTTTATATTTTTTGATTTTTGAATCACAGGAATGCATAACTGATCCAAAAGTTAAATTAATTGAAGGTTTAAAAAAACAGAGGGTAATACAACTAAGTTCAGTCGATCTCAATTCTATGGAAACATAACTGGCTATAACGTATAGGCAGGATGTACACCAAACCACTGGTGAAATTCAACCATATTTATATAAAGCATCTACTATGGACCAGGCACATTGCTAGGTGTTAACAATATGTACTTAACAAAACAGACATATCTTATAGTCTAGTACAAAGCCTTTTAACAAGTAGTAACAATGAAGTATGAGGAAAGTTACCAGAGGGGAAATATGGAATGCCAGGGAAACTTATGGCAAGGAGACATAACCTAAGTCTGCCTTCCTGAGAATATGACATTTAAATGGACACCTGAAAGAGAGCATTCACCAACCAAGTCACAGGGAAGAATGCTCCAGTACGAGGCAATAATAGCCTGTGGGAAAGTCCAGATGTACGAGACAGCATAGGACCTTGAGGAACTGAGAGAGACAGTGTGACCAGAGCACAGAAAGAGGAGCCTGGCACCAGATGAGGAAGGGGCAATGCGCAGGATTCTGGACTTTATTCTAAGAGTAGTGGAAAACCACTCAAGCGGTTTTAAGCAGTGAGATTTAAGAAGTGAGATGAAAATTTAAAAAATTGTGGCAGGATTACAAGTGGTTTAGAGTCTTTTTACTTTTGTCACTCATAAAAATAAAAAATACAATTACTTAGAATACATGTGCGAACTTTATTTCTTTGCAAATCTCTCAATTATATGTCACTTGCCAACTCCCCTTCCCTCAGCACTGCTTAGTTTTCTTGGCCTAGACTCTCTCACCATCTGCAATTCCAAACTTTTGCTCACATCCTTCTTTTTCTTTATCCAAGGGACCCTGAGATGCCTTGAAAAGAGGACATACAGGAGACTTCCACTTCCAGGAAGATGGAGCAGACATATTTTTCCTTATTCTTCCCACTAGTACAACCTAAAAACCATAGATAGTATATACAACACAAACACGTGAAGATTCTGAAAGGTGGAAAGAAGGCAGACCAGCTAGATATTTCAGGAACTGAGGAACAACATGGTAGTGAGCTCCCTGGTTTCTTTTTAACCATATGTCCAAGACTTGGAGCTGAAGAAGCGGCAACCTGGAAACGTCCACAAGCACAGACAGAAAACATCCCAACAAAGGCTTACTCTCTCTAACCAAACAAATAGAAAAGGAGAAACCTAGTAAAAGAAAAAAAAGAAAAACTTTCAGAAATAACTACTACTCTCCAGCAAAATACCACAGAAAAAACTGTGGCCCCAGGGGCTGGCCCCGTGGCCGAGTGGTTAAGTTCGTGGGCTCCGCTGCAGGCGGCCCAGTGTTTCGTTGGTTCAAATCCTGGGCGTGGACATGGCACTGCTCATCAAACCACGCTGAGGCAGCGTTCCACATGCCACAACTAGAAGGACCCACAACGAAGAACATACAACTATGTACCGGGGGGCTTTGGGGAGAAAAAGGAAAAAATAAAATCTTTAAAAAAAAAAAAAAAAAGAGCTCAGAAGATACAATTTAAAAACAAAAAAACTGTGGCCCCACACCCACTATGACAGTTAATTTTATGTGTCAACTTGGCTGGACGATGATGTGCCCAGATATTTGATCAAACTTTCTGAATGAGATTAACATATGAATCAGTAGACCATGTAAAGCAGATTTCCCTTCATAATGCTGAAATATCAGTTCTCCTGGGTCTCCAGCTTGCCAAGCACAGATCTTGGGACTTCTTGGCCTCCATAATCACATGAGCTAATTCCTTATAATAAACCTACTTATATATATATATATCTTCTAGTGGTCCTGTTTCTCTGGAGAACCCTAATTGATATGCTCACCATGCCAGCAAAAGCTGCCTGGAAAACCTAGATTTCACCCTCCACAGGATGTAACAAGGTACCCTAATCTTCCCTCCCCTGACCAGGGTGGTATCAGAGAAGGCAATAGAAAGTCAGGACTTTCAACTCCAACAAGCTGGTAACAAATCCCTTCCTCCTCCCCCATGGAGAGTGCCAGTGGAGATCATGTGGAGAGCCTGAATTTCTACCTACACCCAGAGTAACGAGGTCCTACTGGAGTGGCGTCAGAGGAGGTCTACGAATCAGAACTTTCACCGATGTCTGATCCAGTGAGGCCCCTCTCACTATGTTGTCAACAACTGAGGGCACATGGGGAACAGTAATGAGGCATTCCCTACCTCTAACCAGCCAATGAGGTATCAGTGAAGGCTTAATAAGGAGCAGGAAGCCCCATCTCAGTCTAGCAGTGAGGAGGAACACTTCCCATCAGGTTTCAATGGAGACCAAGTGGGGAACTTGGACGAGCACCTCACCTGGCAGTGACAACATGGCACCCCTCCCCTTGCCCTGCCAGAGCTGTATCAGAAGAAACTAGCTAAAACAGAAAGTCTAAATAAGATCTGGAGTCTCACAACATAACACCAACAAGGTCCAGGTTTCAAAAGGAAATCAAAAGTCATATCAAGAATCAGGAAGATCTCAAAATGAATTAAAAAATGACAATCAATAGAGGCCAACACTGAGATGACAGAGATGTTAGAATAATCTGCCAAATATTTTTAAAGTAGTCATCATAAAAGTACTTCAATGAGAAATTATGAACAATCTTGAAACAAATGAAAATACAGAAAGTTTCATCCAAGAAATGAAAAACATAAAGAATAACCAAATGGAAATTTTAGAACTGAAAAATAAAATAACTGAAAATTTTAAAAACTCAAAGGATGGGCTCAACAGCAGAATAGAGGGTTCAGAGGAAAGAATCAGTGAACTAGAAGAAAGAACAACAGAAATTTCCAATCTGAAGGAGAAAAAAATTACTGATTAAAAAAAATGAAGAGAGACTCAGGAACCTGTGGGACTATAACAAAAGGTCTAACATTTATGTCATTGGAGTCTCAGAAGGAGAGAAGAAAAAGGGTGGGACTGAAAAAGTACTCAAAGATCCAATAGATGAAAATG